AGTGAATACTCAGGTGTCAGTATTACACTTTCCATCCTTTGTTGAAACACTTCCCAGATATTTAAGTTGTACTTGTTTGACTTCCAATTTGTTATTTGTATGTTGGGGTTTCCTTTTTTGATGAAAACTATGCACTTTGACTTCTTGCAGTGGATATTTAGTCCTTTCTTCTTGCTTTCTTTCACTATTTACCTCCTCAACTGTTCAAATTCAAGGTCAGAGACTAAAAATGGAGTATAGACCATTATAGTTTATAGACAAAAAATAGTATGTATCATTGCAGTTTGGAGAGAAAAACAGTAAATCAACTGACCTGAAGAAAAAGTGAATTCTGTAAATAAATGTGTTAGTCAAGAATAAACAAGGCAAAAGTAGGATAAATACCTTTGTTATCACACCGTCTCAACATTAAAAGTTCCAAAAATTTGGCACAAATTACAGATCATTCCTATACCAAAAAAGAGAGATCTCTCTCTAGAAATCAACTAAAGAGGAATTTCACTGATGCCAATTGCTGCCAAGGTGTACAATAAACTCATTCTCAACTGCTTGATAGCCTTCATTGAGCCTGTAATCTGGAACAACCAAAATGGCTTCATACATGGCAGATCTACCCTAAGCCAAATCTCATGTTTGCATAGACTTATTGAGGAATCTGAACTGAGCAAACTAGACCTTGTATTGTTTTTCATTGACTTCTCAAAAGCTTTTGACTCTGTTGATCTAAAATGTTTGAGATTCTTAAACTTTATGAAATACCTGACAAAATAATTGACACCATCAGGGTCATGTACAGAGACACCTCATCAAACTTTCTCACTCCTGATGGAGAAACACCACATTTTTCCATTAGAGCTGGAATACTCAAGAGCAATATAATTGCACCATTTCTGTTTATTATTCTTGTGGATTATGACCTCTGTATATCAGTTGACAATCTGCAAGATAAGCGTTTCCAACTATGCCCTGCAAGAAGCTCTTGCTTCCCTGCCAAATATCTTACAGATACTAATTTCGCTGATGACATCATACTTATCAGTTGGTCTCTAAAGAATGTGCAAGCTCTTTTACTATCTCTTGATCAAGCCTCCAAATGCATAGATCTCTATCTGAATGAGTCAAAAACTGAATACATGAACAGATGTACAGCCAAAAATAATCATCCTATAAAATCCCTTAATAACACCAGGTTGAATCAAGTTGAGGATTTTAAATAATATAAATATCTGGGATTATTCATCTCAGTGGTGGGATTCAAAAATTTCAATAACAGGTTCTATGAATTTTAGAAACTGGAGGCCAAGTATGAAAATCTGTCAAATGCCGGCCAAGTACAGAGACAAATATAAAGGCGTCTAGCAGAGTGTGACCCAGAACATGAAATAAATAAATAAATTTAATTTAGACAACTCTTGAGGTCAACAAGAAAGAAATAACAGATTCTTGAATATTTTCATATAATAATTTACTAATTTACTATTTTTAATGGTGTATTTACATTGCATGCTGCTGTTTGGACAAATAAAGAAATATAACAACAAAATATTTTACCGTTGTATTTTTTATTGAAGACATTCTTTCAGTTTCACTTTAAATATTTCCATACAGCCACTTAATTTTCATCATAGTGTTTAGCCTGTTTTCATTTTACTCTTCTCTCATCAGCGCTATGGTTTTTGTTTTCGTAACCATTTTTTTTTGCTAAAAGTGTGGTATCCCACGAATCTAATGGGAGGCCAACTAGATTTTCATTAATTTTGATACATTTTTAACAATAAGGCTACCTCTCTTGTCTGTATATATTATGTTCATTAACAAGAATCCCCACTCTGCTGATGTTAATAATGTTCTTGTCTCTTTGTACACTTTTTCAAAAGATATGCATATGCTGGCACAAAAGTTACGTAGAACATTTTCCACATAATCCCAGAATTCATTCACATGAACATCATGTTTCAATATTTGATTAAATTTATTAAGTTTTTTTTTTCTGCTGCCACTCATAGCACAAGGATTTCTTCCACATTCCAAGTTTTTTCATCAAGCAAGTTACAGAGCTCAATTGTTGCTTTAACTTGCTCATCAGAAATCAATCTTTTCTTCATATTTTCAAGAATTTCATCCAATAGTTTTTGTCGAGGAAGATTAACAAACCTGTAGTTTTCAATGAACTTGATCTCCTTGAAGGCATCAGAAGCAATTCTGTCATCAATTTCCTTTTCATATGTCCCCATACTGTCCTTCAACAATCCAAATGCCTTAATAGACCTTTTAATAAGCTTTTCTACTCTAAACAATGTTGTGCTTCTTACGTGGAGGGCATAACTCAGGTAAAATATCAATCATTAAAGCCAGGCCCTTCAAGAATTTTTTGTTGCACAAACAGGCTGTCAACCCTGAATGTTTTGTGTTAGTGGAGAAATAGTTGTATAATGCTGGATAAGCACGCCACACAGCAAGTGCAGATCTTAAACTTTAAGAATCTCCTCTTGGTCCCAAAACCTTACCTATCTTCAAAATTTGTTGCCCAAGTTCTTCAGATATTTTGAAGAGTTCCATTTGATTGTTGATTGACTAGTGAAATATTGTGTAGATTTTATCCATGAATATTTTAAAATGATTCACTTGTTTTATATCATTGACAGAATTATCCAAAACAAGTTACAAACAATGGTTCAAACAATGCCAGATTACTATCAGTATTTCTATATTTCTTACATGAGGTGCTATGTACACTATTTACAACAGGAAGTAATTGATAACTGACATCCATTAAACATGGCACGTGGAACTAAAACAGTCTACCCCAGTGAGCGAAATAAAGGGTCCAGTTCAACATTCCAACCACCGGAAGAAGGCCGGAGAGTACAACGGCCAAAACGTTGTAACAAATATGGCAACAAAGATGAGGTCAGTTGTATGAATAATGTAAATAGTGTCCAGATTACTATGTCAGGGAAATCTTTTTTAAGTTTAGTGCCTACCCCAGAATTATGACCAAGCATTATACTTGCACCATCAGAACAAAAGCCAATCAAATTATTTCTCATGTATTCAGTATCAAATGCAGTGCAAACTTTCCAACATGGTTTTATAAATTTGTTTGGATCTTTGAATCTTTAACTCCACCAAATCCAAGAAATGGTGATAAATCACAATGTTTAATTTTCACAAAAATTATAAGCACTGACTTACTAGATACCATTGAGGCTTCATCTATCATAACACAGACTTTTTTATTTTGTGCAACAATTTTTGTAAATATTTCACTTTTAATTTCCTTTGCAATATGATCAAATACTTTCACAGCAGTTTTATGAGAATGAAGTCCAACACCCATATGCAACCTATTTTTTATTTGTAGCTCAATCTCATGTTCACTATCAGAAAAAGGCCAGCTTCGCTTTGCCAAAGTATAGACTGTATTGAAAACTCTGCACATAGATGCAATATGTTTCTGATTCAACGCATCAATGCATTTTGTAATTGTATCATCTGCATGATCTTGCAGTTGCTTTAAGCAAATACTGTGGGCCTTTGATGAAAAGTGCTCATTCATTTTTTTTTCCAAAGAGACACGTGTTCAATTGCTTTATCTCTTCTTGATGCAATAATATTGCACATTTTCCATTCTAATGAGACATGACATCTTTTCCCGTTTATAGAATTAAATTTTGTGCAGTAACTACATCCTAATTTCTTACTACGAACTATTAAGCCATTATACTCTTTCTGGAAATTTTCATATTGTTCATTAATCCAGCAGTACAGAAGTAGACTTGTTACATTTGTCTTATATCTACCTTGCACAGTGTCAGTATCTGAATTGTTTTCCTGCTGAACGGTCTCAATAGTAGCATCAGTATTTTCTCCATTTAATGCAACATTAGAACCAGAAGCAGAACCTGACGTTTTTTTTTCTGTTCAATTTGGTTCCATTTCACCCTCACTTGATTCATGCCTTGAAATTTCGATTCTAGGGAATTTTGCATGAACCCCAATAAACTTTGTTGTCTCTTCATTTTAAGGCTGAATCATGAAATGGAGAAAAATAATTTTTAGAATTTTATTTATTTTTAGGCATATTAATTAGATCTAGGCTATTTTTCTACTAGATCTAACCCAAAGTGATTAAGTCTTATAGGAAACACACATTTAAACTGCTACAAAACTACAAAATCAACTGCCATTTCAATTAAAATGCAGATCTCAAAAGGCCAATTTTGTTTTATAAATATAACTTACATAAGCTTCACAAATCTCTACTTTTTATAGGCCTAATTTAATCAAACAGCAAACACGGAACTTGACAGCTGTAACCTCTAGGCATTGTACATATCTAAAACAGCCTTAGATCATCTTGGACTAAAACAGAGAAGAGCTTGTAGAAATCTATAAAAAAAATGCTTACTAAAAAGTTCAGCTACCTGCTGGTAATTTGGTTCAGCAGAATATGATAGATATATATATATGCATAACATGGTATTATGCTATATTGGCATATCACATAATTACGCAAGTTTAGTTATGATAGATAGATTGCGGTTCATTTACACTTTATGTAGCATATACTATGTTGTATTATAGGCTATATGGTTGTGTTTAAAAATACAAATTTATGTAATTTTAACAACTGGTTCACCAAACTTGTGGAATTTTAATCACCGGTTTGTGCAAACCAGTGCAAACCAGTGCAAACCAGTGCAAACCAGCTAAATCCCACCACTGATTCATCTCCTCCTCCTTGAAAGACTTCCAAACTAGGAAGGGTCTGCCATGGTCTGCATGCAATGATATGCACAAGATCTGGACATCAAAACTGGACAAGATCTGGACATTACAACTGGACAGAAAACCCAAGATCAAAATATTCAGAGCCGCTGTTGAGTCGATTCTATTCTATGGCTCTCTGAGACATGGACACTCTCTAATGGCATGGAGAATTGTCTGGATAGAACCTATACCTGTCTTCTTATGAGATCTCAAAACCTCTCTTGGAAATGCCATCCAACCATCCAGCAAATCTACAGAAGTCTTCCCTGTGTTTCCTCTCTCATACGAACTTGTCAAGCACAGTTTGCTGGCCACTGCTACTGTGCCAAGAATAAGATTGTCTCCTCTCTCCTACTCTGGAAACACACTTCAAACCTGACTAGAGGCAGAAAACTATCATTCTCTGATGTCATCACATGGGATGTATTGGTATTAGAGGTATTGGTAAGCAGGACTTAGAGACAGCAATGAAGGACCAGGAGGTCTAGTGTAGGATTGTGGACTCCATGATCTCGACTGCGGCCGACACATGATAATCAGGGTAAAAAATGAATTTGTATCTAAAATGGCACTTGTCTATTTGTAAGATAATGCAGATATTCAAAATTATTATACATAAATCTATAAACGAGTATTTATGTTTTAGGAAATGAGTCACTTTCACTACAATATACATGTGTCAACAAGACAAGTCAATTATTATTAACACACATGCTAAAGCTAGATAAGTTACATCCAACACATCCGTTCTGTACATGAAATATTGCCAATCAACAACCTTTATCATTTTAATGGCACTACTTGTTACAGTTTTTTGGATATATGTGTGTACTAGTGAGCTAGTCAAAATGAGCTGACTCATTTTATAGTTCACTAATAGAAGGGTTAACCAAACAGAAGGCTCAAAATATTCAATGCAACATGTATAAAGGCAGCCATTTTGTTTTTTCTCCCAAATTATCTTCACTGCCAACCTCATATTGAAGACTTAAAGAATTACTTAACAGCCGCTACTTTCTCTGAATCTTCACTGCCAACCTCTGATATTGAACACATTACGGACTTCACTGGATTCCATATTCAGAGACTACGGCAAACATGGTCAACACTACTTTCATAGACTGTTTCACTCATAAAACAGGGAAAATCTTTTCAAGGAATATATAAAGCCACAACATCAAAAAATGTTGATTGTTATATTGATTTAGAAGTGGGAACATGTTCATAATACTAACAGATTTTAAAATAGAACTCTTTTTTTTTACATAGTTATTGAACTTAGCTCTTATTTACAAATACTAAGTTTAAAACTGTGCTTACATATTTGATATCTGAATATTTTATTTTCATTTTCTGAATTTTTAAATATTTTTTTAAAACTTTTTTATTTTGAGGGATATTTTTTGAAGCACATTCACAAACATTGGGAGGATAATAATTATTTATCTTCAATGATGAATAAACAAATAAATATTTTATTAATTTGTGTATGTTTTTGTTTTTTTAATTAGAAAATAATATATCTGTATATCTCCTTTTTTTTAAAGGAAAACTTTTTGCAACAAAAAGTTAAAATTCATTTTCATATATAGAGCAGTTAAGTTCAGATAACTCTGTAAAAAGTCAGGGATCAATTTTACACTATATCAACAGTATGGACAGGACATTCTTTCTAAAATTCTGACAAATGTCACACCTTGAAGAAGGTCTAATAAATACTAATTTACAAAAATTATTTCTAAAAACTGTTTCCATATTTTTTATTGAGTCGTTCAGTCAATTTAAGTAGTGACATTTTTATTGCTGTTAAAATCTGTTTTGAGTTTGTTTTTTTTTCAAAACAAAATATACTTTAGCCCATCTTAGGCAAATTTTAGAGATTTATTCAGGTCTGTCTATATTTCTGAGATGAGATATTTTAATTATTTACATTATTTACATTGTTTAGACTGTTGTCCTCATCTTTATTGCCATATTCACGAAATTTTGGAAGTTGTATGCTCTGGCCTTCTTCAGAGTGTTCTTGTCCAATGTACCATGCTTCTTCCTAATGTTTCAGTTATCTCCCTTTAACTGAACTCTCCAAGTTGTTGTACACCCCTACCATAGCCAGGTATTGAACACACAACTCTTTGGGTGAAGTCACTGGATCCAACCAATGCTTTTATACACTGGACCTAAATTATGTAGAAGTTGTCCTAACATTCTGAGTGCTTTTGGCTATGCTATTAGCCATTATCAAGGATGATTTATTTTTACTTTTAACTGAATATATGGATTTCTTTATGTATGCATTTAAAGTTATATGAATGTTTTATTTTCCAAACAAAGTCAGCCCATTGTGTGCATGTTTATAGTTGATGTTATTGAATGTTGGCTTTTTTGTTTTTATTAATGAACTTTACATTATTAATTATTAATTTATGTCCAAAACAGAAGAAAATTATAAGAACACAAGAAAAATACAAAACTTAATCGCAGTATCTTCTCAGTCATTTTTAATGAAATTTGTATAAGAGAGATTTCTGCCCAAGTGTACAATAATATATATATATATATATATATATATATGAAAGTGAATATTGAAGTCAACACTCAGAGGCGACAGGCAGCTTCATGCTGGATGCATTCGTCAGGCCACCTGATGATTGCATCCAGCATGAAACAGCCTGTTGCCTCTGAGTGTTGACTTCATTGTTCACTTTTATATTTATATTTACATACACTCTATCTCTGATGTTGAGCACTTTATCCTATAAATATAGCACACCTTAAAACTATATATATATGTCCATCTATCTATATGTCTTTATATCTGTCTATATTTATGAAGTGCATTCACAAAGTATCCAACTTTATTTTATTCCAGCAAAACTAAAGCTGCATAGACAAAATTCTTTGGGCGAGAGGTAATGCCACTGCTTCTGCATATGCATGAATATTTTTGTGCCGGTTGGCCACATCAGCTCCCAGCTGTTATGCCTAGACTACAGGCATGTAGTGTATGCTCACCAGATTTACTTTTTCATGCAAGAAGACTGAAAGCATCAAGAAGAGATGTCGCATCAAACATTCCTGGTCAAGAACAACACACTACTTGTACAACAGGCTCCCTACTTTTCACATGTAGAACCATGTGACTTTTGGCACTTCCACAAAACCATAAGATTTCTATATAGAGTTGCTTCTAGTGCTCCTGCTGCAACTTGGGGACAAATCCCACCAACACTCTCTACGTGCACAAATCCTCTTTTAAAATAGAATGCACTGATCAGGTGCTTATTCCCAGTTTGGCTTGTAAATGTCCTGCCTGAGCATGCTTCACTATGTTTGAAGCAGTTGTACCACTTACTGAGTTTTAACCATGACATCACTGCCAAAGTCTGGCTAAATCTTCTGAATGGTTTCAGCTTAAGTATCACCAAACTTTTATCAAAACTTAATGCTATATCTCTGCTCAATGTGTTCAGCCATCTTGCATGAAAACAAGAATCTAATGAGCATAGACTACACATCTATACTCGAGGTATAACAACTGGGAATTGACATGGCCCAAAATATTTGCTTATGTGTAGGAAGGGTGGCATCAACTCTCACCTAAAGGATTTTAAAAATATGACATTAGTTTTGGTAGGAAGAAAAGATTTGGATATTTTTTGAACTTACCTTGTATATATCAGTCTATCTATGTATATGTATATCTATCTATTCCTACATATATCTATCTATTTATATGTATATCTATCTATCTATCTATCTATCTATCTATCTATCTATCTGTATATGTAGATATATATGTATGTAGATTTATAAAAAATCACACAAGCATTTAAGTTACCCCTTTACAATACAGCCATATGCATATACATAGCATATATGGCTGCAAACATTGTGATGAACAAAGAAACAGGCACACTTTTATATAGATTGCTAAATGTCTTTGCTCAAAACTAGAGGAGATTATCCAAGTCTAGGACTCAATTAAGCATTTAGCCTAATTGGCAGAAATGGGTCCTATTGGCTTAAAGCCAATCCAGGCCTAGAAATGGTCTTTTATTTTTATACATATGCTACAAGAGATCCATTAACCATTCTTATTTTGTACAAAAGACATTTTGAACTACTCTCAAGAATCATAGATTGTAGCTATGACTCAATGGCAGGTTTCTTGATGAATTATTTTGAAATCACAGAACTGTATTGTCTCTTAATCATCCAATCCTTTCTTTGTTTTTTAGCTTCTTTTGGCTGCTGTAAAATTCAACGTTCTTCCAATTGTATATGAATTTGAAGCTAACACAGTAGACAGTCTAGGCCTTCTGGTTGAGAATCTCTTGGACAAAAATTATGTCAGGTGATTATTTTATTATCATTTAAATCTTTTACTGATTTTATTATTAATAATAATCATTTGAAGGAACTGGAAATTTCATGGGTGTTCACATCTGAAAGATTGCAATTTTTTTGCATATATTTCTGACTATATATGACATTTATTAAGTTATATAAGATATCTCCTAATTACAGATAGAATGCAAACACTATAGCCCAGTGGAGTTTTCTCCAAAATTGTCTTGTGTCTATATTTCTCCAGACTGAGTGATTTTTTTTATGTGTTATCAAGGCATATCTGGATTATTTAATGCCAAAGCATATTTTGTAATGTGAGAATAATTCTTTTTTTTTTCTTTGATTGGGAGTGAATACTGCAGTAACAATTTTTGGAGATAACAATGTTTTTTCTCAGATACAACTTCTACTATTTAACCCATAGCTGGTGGGAGAAGAGATGGATTCATACCTTGCCCAAGAGTATTTGCACATAAGGGAATCTAACGAATTTGATTGGGATTCAAACTGAACTCTTTGATTCCTCATCCTAAGCCACTAGCCACTACACCACCCCACACATCCCTTTTTCTGCAAGAAAATGGTCATTATATTTGACTATATAAGACTTTTATTAACTTATATAAGATATTTCCTAAGTGCAAAAAACAGAATGCAAATACAACAACATTCTGGATAATATAAAAGGTTTGATTCAACATTCTGAAAAGATCAATAATTACAAGATCCACTTGAAGAAAGTTGAAGAGTAGAATAGTCATAAAACTAAGATGCCAATACAAGTGTGAATGCAATGTCATATAATAAGAATAATTCTTCATCTAAAAAGAACTAATGTCCAGTACTAGTTATTTTATGACTTTTTCTTCAAAATCATGATCATTATTTATTATGAATAAATCCTTAATAATCAATTTTGGTTCAAATCTGTAGGAATGATTTCTAAAAACATCTCCTTCCAAAATTTATAGACAAATTGTACAGAGGCCTGCTGAGATTGCAGACTTCTTTGTCTCATCCACCATATTCTTGTTCTTTCTTGTCTTGAAGTCAGAAGGCTCTGGTTATTGTTTATTGGAAATTTTGTCAATTCTGTATGTTGGACATTTCTGCCAATTACATTTAACCATAGCCAATTACTTTACAAGGAATTGCTAATTAAATCAGTCCTAACAACAAATTAAATGTTAATACCATAAAACCCCAGTGAAAAGAAAGCCAAACAAAGAATAAATATGTCAAAAATGAGAGAAACCCATAAGCCTTGCAATGACTGCATGAACTCTACCAAATTAAATTTATCAAAAAACAAGCCTGAAAGAAAAAAGATTCATTATGAATTGGGCAAATAACTTAGGTTCAACAAATTGTATGGGTATAAAGCTTTTCTTGGATATAAAGTGTTAAAAAAAGAGCAAATCTAAGAAAATATAAAATCTTATTAAGACAGAATATATGGTCATCAGTAAAAGAAACAACTCGAAATGCAAGCTACGAATACAGTAATTTAAATATCTGGGAAATGTTTTAACATATGACAGAAAAGATGATACTGAAATCTGAAGTGTTATGGGAACAATAAAAAATAACTTTCAAAAGCTAAGCAAAGTATTAAATAACAGGAAAATTAAATTAGAAACAAAGGAAAGAGTACTGAACTACAACATATTAATCCTCCAAAATGACAGTGAATGCTGGACAATTTCTTCACAAATGAAAAGGAAACTTGAGGCAACATGGATATAGCTTTACAAAAGGATACTACAAATGCCATGGACAGAGCATATGAGGAACAAGGAAGTTTGAAAGCAAATGGAAACAAAAATTACATTCATACTTAGAACCATTAAAAGACATTTGAAATAAATAGAACATGTAATGAAGACAAAGCAAGAAGGTCAGAGGGAAACAATGAGTAATCTACTTAACTTTAATGAGATTGTGTAAATGGTTGGCAGAACTGGGAGTGAGAAAGTAAAATAGCAAACTTTGTTAAAAGCTACAAAGGATAAGAAGTTGTGGAGAGCCACAATTTCCCATCTCCTGAAAATATATGGCACATAAAAGTAGAAGATACATTTAGTTTAAAGTCACTGACATCAGCTAGTGTACTTCATTGTGAAAGTCTTATTTTATGTTCCATGCTCTTTCAGAATGTTGTTAAACGTGGCTCTCCACAACTTTCTCTCCTTTGTAGCTCTTATTATATTTTGTATTTTTTCTATAAGACAAAATATAATAAGAGTTACAAAGGAGAGAAAGTTGTGGAGAGATTAACAACATTCTGATGGGACATGGCACATAAAATAAACTTTAAACTAAAAGTATCTTCTTAAACCTGTTCTGCCATCAATTTACAAAAGCTTGTTAAGTAGCTTATACAATGTTTTCCTCTGTTCCTCTTGTTTTCAATCTGTCCTGTGAGAGTTAAATTTTCCAAGCCCTCTTTTCTCATTATGTCCCCTAGAAATTTCAACAGTGTCTTCCTGATGTTAGGTATTAGTATCCTTTTTATTTTCTATTTTCTCTTAAAATTTTGTCATTGCTCATGTTTAATACATAGTATTCTCAGCACCCTTCTGTAGAACCACATTTCTGTTGCTTCAAGTCTATTCTTCATCTATGAGTTCAACAGTCACTGCTATATAGGTCAGTCATGGAGTTATCTCATATCCAAGAATTTAATTTCTCCTTTGTTGATCACTTCTTTTATGATGATAGCATTGATGACTAAATTCCCCACCAATTTGCAGGTTCAGGAATAGAAGCTTCCAGTTTCCCCAAAACATGTTCTCGTTATCCATTCACCATTTGGCTTTGCGAGAGTTGGTTGGAAGTGAAAGAAAATCAGTAGAAGAAAGTGCCAGGAGGCTGAATTTGTTTAAGATGGACATCAACTTGCTAAGAAGTGAGCCAGACACTTGATTTCATGAGGTTCTTCTATGGAACTGTTGTAGTAAAGATAAGAAAAAAAACTGTAAACTTATAGTAGCAATAAATACCTGCAATAGGTTTCTTCTGTCTCTCATCCACAACACTCATAACCAAATCACAGTTCAAATGATAGTAAGAGTCCAACAGGCCATGTAGAAATGACAAAATGAGGTCGCAAATCCTACCTTTACTTCTCACCAGCAAAAACGCATGTTCATCCACCAAGCTCAGAAAAAAAATCCTGCCTCTTAAGTGAAAAACAATGGCTTTTATTCACCAAGCAGTTTTTCTGATTGACTGCGCCATTCAGGGGAAGAAAGAAAATTAGCATAGATTCTGATATTTACAGTAACAGATTTTTACTAACTACTTTCAGTAATTTTTCTTTGGCAGATTGCACACAAAACATGAACTCTTTTCTGAGGTAGGTGATTATCTCTTTCATGACAGGAACATATAGAATGTAACATGCAAAATCAAGTTATAAATCTCCAACGAACTGCCAATAACTCTCTCATAACTTGGAGTGGTTCCTTCTGTAGCATGGCCATCATGTGTAGCCCTCTCCATCCATTGGTTTAACCATTGAGATGTGCTATATATGAAGACTGACATTATATAACACTTCAGTAATCTTTCTTTGTTCTTAATGAAATGTTCCTGTTTTTACTTAATGAAAATATTCCTGTTTTGAAAACTATATTTAACTTTTGGGAGACATCCTTCAATTTTCCAATGCTCATTTAGATTTTGATATTTCATTAGTTGTCCTCTGTTAAAACACTTTCTATAATTTTTTTGGCCTCATATTCTATACTAATGACCTGGTGCCAGACTTAACTAAGTTTATTACATACTGGTAGAGGAGAAAATATTGATTTGATCTTTTTCAGTTGATTATGATGTTCTTGAACATTGAAGAGCGAGCCACAAAAAGCAAACCTCTCTCTGTCTTTCTTTCCCTACTGAGTTCCCACTAAGATTAACCTTGTCTTGAAAGCTGTTTATTAGTATCTCTTTTAGCCTTAACTCTCATTCTTAATGAAGCTTTCTTCTCCAGCAGACTGATCAGAAAAAAAATCCTTTGCTGAGACAAGATGGTTGCTTGTCGCCAATGACTGTCCCACTTGACCTTGTTACTGAACAGATTTCTTTCAAGTGAAATTCTGACAATTAATTGGTCAACACCTTGAAGGAGACATTCAGCTCTTAAGTTCAGATTCTTTTCCAAGCACAACTGACCTTTTATTTTATAAAAGGCTTCTTTTTTTTCTTATTTAAAGATATTTCAAATGAAGAATATTGTTAAGAAGTATCAAAAGTACATTCATTTTTAATCCCTTAGTCTCTGTCAGGATTTCTTCCAAGATCACCCAAGATGATTGTGAATATGAGGAAACCCAGGAGGAGAAACTAAAAACCGAATAAAATACATAACTATTAACAAGAAATTCAGGAATGCTGTTGCACACTGCAAAACTTATCCAAATGCCGACTGCAGAAGTGATCACCTCCCTGTTATATGTAAACTAAGAATTAAACTATGAAAACTGATGAAGCCTAACACAGCTCCCAAATTGCAATACAACAGACTCCTGAACAACCCGAACCTGAAGGTAAAATATATGGACAGGGTGAAAAGAAGATATGATGGGCAAAATGTAAATGAAAAATCAAAGAAAAGCTTTAGTGGCATCAGAAAACAGCATTATCCCAAAGGAAAATGGATGAAGAAGAAAAAACGAAGGGATGACAAATGAGATTCTCAACACGGTGTAAATGAGACAGTAAACAATTCCAAGACATGGAATACAGAAATCTACAAAAAGAAATTAGGAAAAAATGCAGGCGGGCTAAAGAGGCATGGCTCAATGAAAAATGTGCAGAAATAGAAAGAATGAGTATCACAGATAAAGAAGATATGCATAACAATAAGAGAACTAACAGGTCAAAAGACATACTCATCAACAGGGTGCATGGGATCAAAGAAAGGAACGCTGATATTAGAAAAAAAAAAATACTTCATATATTGGAGATCTCTTCCATGACAAAAGAGAACAACCAGCAATA